TGCACAAATTGAAAATGGAGGCCACTTGCCAAATGGTGTGTGACTGACGAACTTGAATGCTGACAGGCCAGTCAATGCATTCTGAAACATGCCATGATGGTCTTACTGCTACAACAGTAACTACACTTTGGTTTCTGAGATACTGCCTTTATTTTCTTATATTATAGGAAACAGTGTGGTAACACAAATCATTGTTTGGAACTGTGGTCAAATATTAACATTGCAGTGCTAACCACTGTACAGGACTTTATAAACAATGGGGTGAGGTGTTTAGTCAATAGGGGTACCATTTGGGGCAGATCAGTATTAACCTAATTCAAATAGGTTTACAAATATCTTTCTTTCCCCACAAACTGAATGCAAATCCAAGATTCTACACATCCCTAACTAAAACACTAAGGGTTAGTTTCATCAATCCTCCAAGTCTACTTTGTGATACTTAAATAATGTCAAGTCAATGGAAATGGGCCAGAAATGGCCAAAGAATTCCCCCTACATAGGGAAGCTTTCTGCTAGTGTAAGGTTAGAGATGGTGGCAGGGACAGTTCCTAGTCCAGCAGCCCCTCTGGTATAGGTGGAGGGAAAGTGTGCACTAGCGGTGAGGTGAGGGTGTTCCAAGGATGTGGCGGAGCAGAGCTCTGCTATGCTCAATCATCCCTTTGTGAATGGTCTTTGAGGGACTTTATGCTCCTCTATTATATGCAGGGAAAGAGCTTCCTGAGCTTCTATGCAAGGCCCTCATCACCCTTTCCATGTTCAAGTCCCTCCTGAAGACCCACCTCTATTGTGATGTCTATAAAAAACTTAATGACAGTGTCATCCTTGAGGTGTAACTAGGGCACATTTGATATGTCCTATTTGTATAAGTACATTATCACAGCTGTGTATTTGTTGCTTCCCTTCCACCTAGTACCTTCCATCTGTGTTTACACTGTGAACTCCTCAGGACTTGGGGCTTCTTCTTCTCTTCGAAAGCTCCTAGCACAGCACAGGTACTACCAGAAATAAATAGCGATAGTAGAAGAGCAAGTCTATGGCAGACATGAGTGTGATGCTTCCCATGGTACCCAGGGTTGTGAGGCACCCACTTCACTATCACCTGCCCTTAGCACGAGGAAATCTTGTGCATGCCTGCCGTGCATCAGCTCCCTGACTACACCAGCATCTGGCAACACAAGTGTTCCTCACCCGCATTCAGGCCACAGTAGGCCTCACCTCCTCTCTACAAATTAGTGAGTCTTCTGAGCATTTCCTGTAGTGTCCAGCCCCTTATCTACCAAACACTCAGAATTACCAGGCCTGCTGTTCCCAAAGGAACAGTACACACCAGCTTACTAGTTATACCTTAGAACGCAGCTTTGCTGAACAAACAGAACTTAGATATATTTATAGGGAAAACAAGAATAAGTTTATTATCAAGGAATGAGATTCAAGAGATCGTAAGAATATTGGAAACAAAAGGTTACATATAAAACAAAATCATAACACTTTCTAGAGACTAAACTTAACTAATAAGTTATCCTCCTGTCTAAAGAAGCTTACATAACCCAAAGTTCTCTCCGGTGGTTTCAACAAGCTTAGCTAAGATCCCTTTTCCATGAAGCAAACTTGCAGTTCATTTACTTCCTATCTCTCTCTCTCTCTCTCTCTCTATATATATATATCTCAGAACAAACATTTGATGTATTTGAAGAGCAAAGTGGACATGTTGGCATCCTTCACCTAGGAAGTAAATGAACTGCAAGTTTGCTTCATGGAAAAGGGATATATATATATATATATAAAAAAGATAGATAGATAGATAGATATCTTACCGTAGAAATTGCCTCTCCCTCACTGTTTACCTCTTCTTGTTAGTTTCCTTCTGAAGTTCCCTCCAGCTCTACATTAGCATTTGAATTAGAATCCTAATTGTTGCCCATTGTGAAGCAGACAATACTCGATTTACTTGTAAACAGATAAATGGATAAACATCTCTTGCCTAGAGAAAAATCTGCTATTCACCTCTCCTGGTGACCAACCCTCACAGTTGCATATCTCCAGAACATAATTCTCAGTATATCTACACAACTCCTTACCCAGTATCTATACATACATATATACATTTCACAATGATATTGATGACCAGTGACACAGGCTTTTATTAAAGACCTCACATGACACCCTTTGGTGAAATAGACTATAAATACCAGACCCAGGGGATTCCCAGAACACTTAAACATCTCTTATGCCCTTTGCCAGTTGGTATCAAGAGGTCTGTGTGTAAAAATTAGTTTTCCTGATGTCCTTTCAAAATTATACCTGGAGAGCGGACCAGCCTCTCTGATAGGAAGTGCTGCAAATCTCCCATTAAGAGACACAGGAATGGGGCTATTTGTCTGTCTGATTCTTGAAACAGGAAGCATCGACATTGCTATAATTTGGTGATGTGCTAAAAGTAAACTCTACAATCAACTGTTACACTTTGATTTTGGCTCCTGAATTTTGTTTCTGCAAAAGCAGACAGAACAGACTAAAAGGCTGGTTATGTGATGGCAAATCCAAGGAACGCTGTTTTGTTCAATGGCCAGGTGCCTAATGCAAAGATAATTTGGGGAAAGTTGCCTGTGACTGGCTAAGAGGATTATTATTATATATTTTTTTAAGAGTAGAAGTATTCCATTTAGTGTTTAGTTCAACTGACTATTTGTTAATAATGGCTGCTTTTTTCATTTATAACTAATATTTTTTCAGAATAACTGATATAATAGGTAGGCTTTAAGAGCTTTTTATACCTGCAATATCATGCTTTGAGCCCTGGATGAAATATAACAAATGTATGTGCAAAGTATTTGTAAGTAATAAGAAGAACAGGAGGACTTGTGGCACCTTAGAGACTAACAAATTTATTAGAGCATAAGCTTTCGAAGAAGTGGGCTGTAGTCCACGAAAGCTTATG